TTACAGGGCTTAAAGTAGAGATACTCAGGAGGGAAGAAATGGACACAACCTGCAAAGCTTGACTCAGCCACAGTGTCTCTTACTAGGCAAATGACTTTCTAGGCAGGGGTCTAGAGAAGTTCATCAGGCAAGTGAATCCTAACATACATTACAGGGAGCCTAATGAAAAGCATGGTTAAAACTGAAACTAACAGCTCAGACAAATAATTTATTCAGAAAAAAAAACCAAAACCCAGGCTGTAAACTTGACATCGTCCTATATGTGAGAGTGAATATTGCAAATAAAACTGAATTTTGCATAAATACAGAGGATCAGTCTTTTTAAAGCAATAAGGTTACTGAAGTGAGTTCAGCAATGCAAAAAAAGGTTCACAGTCTGACCTAACGTACTTCATTGGGATAGGAGCCTCTGTCTTTATTCACAGTAACATAACCTGATAAACCTAGTTCTAGTTACTGGAATACATAATTTGTTCCTCTTAGTTAGATGATGTAGTCTTTTGCTGCCATCAGGCATTCATCAGCGTGTAAAATGCAAATACATGTGTGAGTATGCTGTGTGTAGACATCCTCTCCCAAACCCAGCTGTGCCAATGAAAGAGGTTATTGACTGTAATGACTCATCATCCTCCTCTGCAGACTGTCAGTGCAAGGACCTGCAGAAGGACTTGCCCATGCTCCTTAACTTGCTTTAGCTGAAAAGCAGCCTGACTAACAGCCTAACACCCCTGAACTGCCTCAGCTAGCCTTGCCTGAAGTAGGCAGGTCTGAAGTAGGAAGCACTGATAGGAGCTGATCCATCAGCACGCTGGTGAGATGGTGATGGCTGAGCGAGTGAGCACTGTTAAACAAACACAGGCAGTGACCTTTTCCACTGAGGCGGCTGGACAGGGAGGACAGCCGTCCTGTGACTGCTGGGACTTTGCACACAAGTAGCAGCAAAACAGAAGGGTGGCAAGAATAGATTCCTTCAGATTAATGGTCTTATAAACCATGGAGATAAAAGTTATATTACAGCAAAATGTAATGATAATGATGTGATCACCAGTCAAGAGCAAATGCACTAAAATAGCACATAGTGGTACTAATGAAATTCTTCAAAGCCTTATTAGCTGAAAAGATGAAAATGATTTTCATCCAGGAGGAAGGGAAACTTTTTGTTTGTTTGTTTGTTTTTAATTATAGTATGTTTTCTGCATTTAATTTTCACAGTATTTTCATAGGAAAAATATTTAATATATATGTATGTGTATAAATATATATAAAATAAAAGTAAATATACACTGCAGAGTACAAACTTTTAAAGCAGAGATGTCCTTCAGGCTTAGGTGATTATACTGCTGCTGAGTTTTTGTTATACTCCAGTGGCATTCTGCTGGAATGAGACTGACCTCTGTGCAAAGGGCAAGCATAAAACCTAAGTACCATGTAAGTCCTACTTAAGTCTTAAGGACCTGGTTCTAATTCCATTGAAATAAATAGCAATATTTTCATTGCCTTTCAGTGAAAGCTGTTTCAAGGTCAGTAAATGGGATCAGACCTATACATGCCTTTTGTTGGCCCAATTAGAGTGATACCTCAAGGAGCTGGATGTAAATGCTTGGGAATAAAAAGAGGTGAAATAATACCCTGGTAGTAAAAGCCTTGGTAATTCTGGAGAATTTGCTAAAGTAGATACTGGGACCAAAACATTTGTTTCAAAGATTCAAGAATGCTAGGTAAATTTATTCTAACCAGGAAGCTGGTTTTACCCAAATCTGACTTGAGGATTATCGTGCATACTTCTGCATATACTGTGTAATATAATGCATATTACTGTAAAATCTATTTAAAACTTTATTATTATTTCTGTAGTACTAACAGAATTTTGGATACCTTAGAGTACTAAAACATCATGTTCTCTGCTCTGGCAGCATTAACCCATTTTCTCTGCTACATCATCCGCCCTTGCTAGGTTAACAGAGTGGCATCTATTTACACATCTAAAAAGTGCCTGCACAGAAACTTATAAATTCCAAGTGTATCACAGCTGATTTCTCATTACAGGTGAGAAAGCTTTAGATAAGACCATGTTCACAACGCAAGGCATTGGAGAACTCTGCACTCACTTTGTGCATCTTACAGGGCCTCCTGGCCACAGCAGTGTATTTCACTTCTCAGCTTGTACAGGGAAATAGATACACATTGGACTCCTTCTAGAACAACCTTACACCTAACTGCCAACTTTGCAAAGTGTAAAAACATCGTGTGTGTGCTCAGCAAGTGATTTTCAAAGGCTCTGACCTTCCATAAATAAAATCCAGATTCCTCAGAACGAAGCACAGGTGGAAGGCTAGGCTTATGGCACATGTTTATTCTTACAGAATCATAGAATAGTTAGGGCTGGAAAGGACTTTAAGATCATCAAGTTTCAACCCCCCTGCCATGGGCAGGGACACCTTACACTAAACCATGGCACCCAAGGCTCTGCCCAACCTGGCCTTGAACACTGCCAGGGATGGAGCATTCACAACTTCCCTGGGCAACCCATTCCAGTGCCTCACCACCCTAACAGTAAAGAACTTCTTCCTTATACCCAAAATTTCTTCCTTATATCTTCCTTAACCTTGCCTCTTTCAGCAGCAGGCCTACTCTAGGAAAGGGCAGAACAGAAAAGATTTTTTTTTTGTAACATAAAAAATGTCTCTACTCTTTTTGATCTGTCAGAAGAGATTGACTTAGCCTTTCTGTTGTAAACAATCATTCCCAGTAACATTTAAAATACTGTATAAAATAATCAGGGTAACATAGAGTTACCCTGCAGAAATCTGCCAGGGTAATTCAAATCAGAGCTAAAATTCAAAGCTAGTATTACCACCTTCAGAGGTGAATACACAGGATGACTGGGTTGGGATTTAAGAGTGACAACAGCAATGAAAGTTGTTCTGCCTCAGTTTTTCTGTCAGTAAGATGCAAATAGTGGTATGTGCCCCTTTTCAGTAGCTTTGAAAGGTCCATGAATAAGAAGCACTACTCCAAACTACCAACTGTATCAACAGGTGAAATTCATCTGAAATACTCCTCAAGAAGCAATGAAAAGAGAATTGAAAGGAATCAGATCATACGTAGGGGTAGTAAGCTTTAAAACCAGCACCGCCTGAATACAGGTGAGAACTGAATTTAAGCATCAGCAGGGCTCAATACAAAAATGCATCCACCATTGGGAACCAGTGTAAATAGCCCACCTGTAAGCAGTGCAGGCACAGACTGGCTCTGGTGGCTGGAGCAGTGCAGCAGGGTGGGGTCTCCATACCAACATGTGTCTTGGGTGTGCGTAACAACCCTGCCACCATCACCCCTAACCCTGCATCCACTCTTTTAGTAGTGGTGGTGGCCTGGAAGCACCTCAGCATGGGTACAGCTGAGGTACTGCCTGCCCAGGCTCACCTGGCTAACACTTGGGAACACCACTTCAAAAATGCTGGTTTTATTATTTTAAACCAGGTGGACATGTCTCTTAAGGCTGGGGCTGCATGGGGAACCTACAGCGACTCTTCCTCCGAGATGCTGACCCTGGCGTCAGGAGTGGAAGCAGTCACCTGTGGACCCCCAGGGAAAATGAGGCTGATAATCATGGCATTCAGGTGAAGTTCCTGATGACTGGAAAAAGGGAAATATAACCCCCATTTTCAAGAAGAGGAAAATGGATGACCCAGGGAACTACAGAGCAGTCAGTCTCACCTATGTGCCTGGCAAAATCTTGGAGCAGATTCTCCTGGAAGGCATGCTAAGGCACATGAAAATCAACAAGGTGCTTGGTGACAGCCAGCATGGCTTCACTAAGGGGAAATCCTCCCTGACCAATTTGGTGGCCTTCTATGATGGGGCTATGGAACTGATGGACAGGGGTAGAGCAGTTGATGTCATCTACCTGGACTTGTGCAAAGCGTTTGACACTGTCCCACATGACATCCTTGTCTCTAAATTGGAGAGACATCAATCTGATGGATGGACCACTCGGTGGATAAAGAACTGGCTGGCTGGCCACACACAAAGAGTTGTGAGGGAAGGAATGCCATCCAGAGGGACCTTGACATGCTTGTGAGGTGGGCTGATGCCAGCCTCATGAAGTTTAACCATGCCAAGTGCAAGGTCCTACACCTGGGTCGGAGCAATCCCAGGCACAGCTACAGGTTGGGCAGAGAAGAGATTCAGAGCAGCCCTGCAGAGAAGGACTTGGGGATGTTGGTTGATGAGAAAATGAACATGGGCCGGCAGTGTGTGCTGGCAGCCCAGAAAGCCAACCGTATCCTGGGCTACATCAAAAGGAGTGTGACCAGCAGGTCAAAGGAGGTGATCCTGCCCCTCTACTCTGCTCTTGTGAGACCTCACCTGGAGTATTGTGTGCAGTTCTGGTGTCCTCAATATAAAAAGGACATGGAATTGTTGGAACAAGTCCAGAGAAGGGCCACGAGGATGATCAGGGGACTGGAGCACCTCCTGTATGAAGACAGGCTGAGGAAGTTGGAGCTGTTCAGCCTGGAGAAGAGAAGGCTGCGTGGAGACCTCATAGCAGCCTTCCAGTATCTGAAGGGGGCCTATAGAGATGCTGGAGAGGGACTCTTCATTAGAGACTGTAGTGACAGGACAAGGGGTAACGAGTTAAAACTTAAACAGGGGAAGTTTAGATTGCATATAAGGAAGAAGTTCTTTCCTGTAAGGGTGGTGAGGCACTGGAATGGGTTGCCCAGGGAGGCTGTGAATGTTCCATCCCTGGCAGTGTTCAAGACCAGGCTGGACGAGGCCTTGGGTGATATGGTTTAGTGTGAGGTGCCCCTGCCCATTGCAGGGGGGTTGGAACTGGATGATCTTAAGGTTCTTTCCAACCCTAATTATTCTATGATACCGCCATTTTGGGCCTCTGGGGCTTAGCGGTCGTGCCCTTGCCCAGGTGGCAGCCGCAGCTCTCCGTCCCCGCCGGTGAAGCAGGACGCGACAGGCAGCACTCCCGAGGCCGGCAGCACCTCGGCGCCGCCATGCGAGGTTTCCCGGCGGGGCCAGGCGGGGCTGGCGCGGAGTGGAGCGGAGCAGCGCAGGCCCGGCAGCCGCAGGAAGGGGAGGGAAGGCAGCCGCCGTCGCCATCATGCGTGCGCCGCCGGGGCTGGTGCGCCTGCTGGCGGCGCGGGGTTGGGGGCGAGCGCCGCGCCGCTACCTCGGCGCCATGTCCCGGTACGTTACGGAGCAGCGGGGCCGGCCGAACTCTGCCGATTACCGCCTCTACTTTAGTAAGTAGCAGCCCCCGGGCTGTATGAATCCCTTCCTTCCCCGCCTCCCAGGGTGCACGGCGAGGAGAACGGCGGCTCCCCGCTTCCGCCGAGGCCTTTCGAGCTGCCCGCCCCTGGGCCTCCCCCTACCCCCCAGTGCCGGAGGCAGGTTCTCGTGGAGAGTGGGGTGGGGGTTTCCTGGCAGATCCGCATTTGGAGCGGATGCTGGGCCTGCTCAGCGGTGGGGGTGGTGTGCATGGCACAGCCGTACCCTTCCCAGCCCTGCGAAGGGCCCTGCAGAGGTACTGAGAAGGCCGGAGTGAAGCACAGCCGTGGTGCACTGTTGCAGTAGTCTGCCCGGGAAGGCCATGGCGTGCTTTGGTATCCCAAAGACGGCCTTGGCCACGGGGGCGTCTCCTGGCCTTGCCTCATCTCGCCTTTCAGTGTGACAGCCCGGTGGTAGCATTGGCTGTCCCCAGTGACCACACCAGCCCTCCCGCCACAAACCTCACAGTGAGGGGAGGCTGGCATCCAGACATGGGGCCTGTGGGGCCAGCAGCAGTAAGTGGCAGCGGGAGGGCGTGGGCAGCACTCCCAGGAGCACTCCAGCAAAACCCAGTGAGAGCTGGTGGTGTGCAGGCTTGGTGTTGCACGTTTTTGTAATAGTGTTGTATATTTGCCGCTTCTCCAGTAGTGGTATTGTATGGTTTTGGTTCATTGAGTTACAAGCAGTTAATTCTAATGTCTGCTGGTGTGAGAGAAGCGGAGGCGTAGCGTGCCCTGTCAGCAGTACCCTGCCAGAGCTCCCTTGTGCTCAGTCCCCAGGGGCTGCCAGCACAGGAGCTCCTCTAGAGAAACTCCCTTTAGTTAGTGGGAATAAGTAGCCTACCACTAAACTTTGTTTTATTTGGGAGGAGCATCTGGGAGGCTTCCAGGAGTTGCAAAAACCATTTACTCCTCTTTTCTGAAGTGGTCCAAGTACAGTCCAAAGCTAAATGAAGTCCTTATCTGCTTTCCCTGTTACTGTGAATAAGGGTGCTAGGAGAGAACTTCCTTGGGAGTTGTGTTAGCACCTTGGATTGTTGTTGATATTTCTGTTTTGATGCACTGCTTGGGTTTTTAGTATGTTGAAAAAATTCTGAGTAGATGGAAAAGCTTGAGCATCCACTCCAGTGAATTTTGTTCCTTTCTGCAGTGTAAGCAAGGCTGAGGGGCAGATTTGGTCACCATTGAGTTTAATGCCAGCAGGTTGCCAGGTGTGGTGTTTCATGTCTAGGGCCTGAGCAATTATCCCATCCCTCGCTTATTCTTTTGGTCAGTCTTTGGGGGCTGGAGCACCTTCCGTATGAAGACAGGTTGGGAAAGTTAGGGCTGTGCAGCCTGGAGAAGAAAAGGCTGCTTGGAGACAGACCTCATTATCAGCCTTCCAGTATCTGAAGGGGGCCTACAAGTGTGCTCGGGAGAGGGACTCTTCATCAGGGACTGTAGTGATAGGACAAGGGGGAATGGGTTTAAACTTAAACAGGGGAAGTTCAGGTTAGATATAAGGAAGAAGTTCTTTACTGTGAGGGTGATGAAGCACTGGAATAGGTTGCCCAAAGAAGTGGTGAATGCTCCATCCCTGGCAGTGTTCAAGGCCAGGTTGGACAGAGCCTTGGGCAACATGGTCTAGCGTGACGCATTCCTGCCCATGGCAGGGGGCTTGGAATTAGGTGATCTTAAGGTTCTTTCCAACCCAAACTATTCTACGATTCTCTTTGTGGTCGTGAAACTCAGTTTATTAGAAATGAGAAGTCACAGGGGCAGCATTGCTAGAAACCCAGATAAATTATCTGATTGCTTATGGAAATAAAGTTCCCTTGCTGTGGTGTTTTTGTTTTGTTTTGGTTTTTTTTTGTTTGTTTGTTTTGGTTTTTTTTTGTTGTTATTGTTTTTCTCTGTTAATGTTTTTTTATTGGTGGGGAAAAGGAGAAAAGAGAATGAAAGCATCTCATCTTCACATAGCTTGTATTGCCAGGTAGTCAGAAGAGAAGTGTTGAATAGTAAAGCAATAATTTTGATTCCGACGAATTCTTACCAGTCAAAATCCTAGTCCTGCATGTAGGTTGTTTTTTTAGTCCTTGGAATTAAACTTCAGGAAAAGTTCATCTGATGCATAATTGTGGCATATCATACATTTCTGTAATGCAGAACAGTCAGCAATACTAACGTGTCATATCTTTAGATTTGTAATGCTACTTTTTTGTTTTTTTTCAGAGAATGCAGATGGTAAATACATTTCCCCATTTCATGACATTCCACTGTTTGCTGGATCTAAAGAGGTATGTATTTATGCCTTGAAACACTATTATTTTAAAAATAACAATAGTTTTGTTGGCATTCTTTAGGGAAAAATACGGTTTTGTAGAAGCATTTTTTTAAAGCAATTAGCAGACAAATGTATAACACCAGAAAGGACCACTTTAACCGAGGCTGATTCCTTATGTAATATAGGCACAATAACCTCACCAAATTTTCTCTGCTGAGTTCAGTAACTTGCAGTGAAACAATGTGTAGACAAGCCTGGGTGTCTGTTGAAGTCTCCTAGTGACTGCAGGCTGGGGGAAAACCTCACTGTATCTTGTGTTAATTCTCCTCTGTGTTTTAAGGTTTATGTGCCCTTCAATTCATTTTCTGCTATTACTCCTTTCAAATTGGCATATTCCTACATCTGCAATTGAAAGTACATTTCCTTGCAGGAGGAGATGTACAGCACATGCTTACGTAACTTACAGTGTATTTCTGTAGATCCCAAAAGGAGCATTATAATTGGAAGCCAACAATAATGCCCAAGAGAAAAGTGGTAATCACACCTTTGGAGAATTACAAGGCTTGAGGTGCAGCTGAGCACTTTCACGTCTTGTTAGCCACACTCCCTGGAGTTTCATTATACCAATAATGAAATGCCTGGTTTGTGTGTCACCAGTGGGAACTGCCAGTCTTTGGTTTAGGCTTAGGTTTGCTTATTATGGTATGGTTGTTACACAAACAGGTTGGGAGGGTTTTGGCTGTTTTCTTGATTTCTTGCTGGATTTCTATGGATGATACAAATGGTGAGGAAGGTCAGCAGTTGTAGCATGTTCAGATTGAGACTTCTGAACTAGTGAACCAATCTCTTGAATTATTTAAACCGTGAGATTAAAAATAGCCATTAAACTTTTTGATTGGCAGCCCCTGAGCATGCTAGTCAACAAAGAGGTAAGTTTCAGTCAGAGAATCATCACTAAGATGCTCTGTTAAGTGGGTGTTGTTGCTATAAAAGTAATCCGTATTACCATCACATGTTCCCTGGGGGCCTTACTGTCTCTGCGTCTAGAGTTTAAGCTTTGGAGGCTTGGATTATTGTCTGTGATTTTTCTGTAGACTAAGTTACAGTACAGCAATGTCTGGTCAGTGTGGGGAGGCTTTCATTTAGGTGTGTGAGCAAGCAGAGAGCATTCCAAAGGATACAAGGGGCTGACAGGAGAGCAAGAAAGAGAGTCATTATGAAGATCTTTGTTAATTTTGCCTTCTTCGCAAGAGGATGACTTATGGAGTTGTTTGTTTTCTTCCTACCCTGGTCTAAGCTTTGTGGACTTCTATGACTTTGTGGACTTCTTGTTTGCTTCTTTAGTTTCTTTATCCCTTTCAACCGGCTGTATGACTGTGTTTTTGTTCAGTTGAGAACAGGCCTAAATTGCCATTTATTTTTTTCAGTAGCTGGGAGAAGTGGATGTGTCCTTGTATACTTCTGTCTTCCTCTGTTAACATCTGGAAGGTTATAATTTCACAGTAAAACAGAACTGAGTACTTTTAAAATTTACAATTTGGGTCTTTACGTTCACGAAGGGATGTTTCAATTGCATTGAAAACTACCATTGTCTGTATTTATAGGAATACAGGATTGTGCTCTAATGTTCTTTATACACTTCTTTACTTCTTTCTTTCTCTATAGGATAAAGAGATTCCTGCAAAGAGGTCAAGAACTACTGGATCTGAGGTACTGCTAATTGTTTATTTTTACTGTTTTAAAAACCCACAACAAAAATAACCCCAAGCCAACCCTATTCTTCTATTTCCATTATCAAGAAATCATACATTATTAAGAAATTCTTCTATTTCCATTATTAAGAAATCATACAAGAAACCATACGGAATGGTTTGAGTTGAGTTGGAAGGTACCTTAAAAGTTAGCTAGTTCTAACCCCCCTGCCATGGACAGGGACACCTTCCACTAGACCAGGTTGCTTCAGGCCCCATCCAGCCTGGCCTTGGACACTGCCAGGGGTGGGGCAGCCACAGCTTCTCTGGGCAACCCATGCCAGTGCCTCACTACCTTCACAGTGAAGAATTTCTTCCTAATGTCTAATCTAAATCTAGCCCCTTTCAGTTTAAAGCCATTACCCCATGTCCTATCATCTCATGCCCTTGTAAAAAGTCCCTCTCCAGCATTTTTGTAGGCCCTCTTTAGGTATTGGAAGACTGTTCCAAGGCCTCCCTGGAGCTTCTCTTCTGGCTGAATAAGCCCAACTCTCTTAGCCTGTCTTCAGAGGAGAGGTGCTCCAGCCCTCTGATCATCTTCATGCCCACCTATGGACTTCCTTGAGCAGGTTCACATCCTTATTATGTTGGTGGTCACAGAGCAGAGTGCAACACTCCAAGTGGGGTCTCACCAGAGCAGAGTAGAGGGGGAGAATGACCTCCCTGAGCCTCTTGATCGCACTTCTTTTGATGCAGCCCAGGATGTGATTGGCTTTCTGGGCTGCGAGTGCACACTGCTTGGTCATGATTTAATATTCTTGTCTTTGCATGGACCAGAAGCGTCAGCATTCTTTCATTCATCAGTATGTTTTCAAAGGGAAACACTTCCATACCACTCTTTGAAAAGTTCGTTATGACTATTGCAGCATATATATGTAATCTTTTTTGCTATTGCATTCAGAAACATTTGCAATAAAACCTTTGTTAATGAAATTTTCATTATGCTCTGAGTATTGGTATATCTACAAATCTTCAAAAATCTTAAGAATGTTAGGGCAGGAATTAGGCTTAGTATCTGCTTTTTAGATCTGAAGATACATTTTTTTCTATACTCATTTGGAAAGCCCAAGGAGAAAAATCACATCTGCTAATAGTTCAGCATTAACCAGCACTGGAGTTAAGCCTAACGGAAGCCCAGAAAAATGTGGAAGATCTACTGAGGCTTTTGCTGTGAAACAGCATTTGTTTATGCAAGTGTCTTTTCCAAAACATAGCATTTTTTGCAATACTTTCCTTGTCATAGGAAAATAAAACTTTAAAAAATAAAACTTCATAGAAGAAAGTCAAAGTGAAACAAACTGTGCTTGAAGTCTATGATGTGTGGGCGTGTGTCCCCCCCCACCCTTTGTCTTGTATCTGTTTGACCAGTCATACTGCAAAACTCTTAACTACACATCCATGTGAAAGAACTGCCCTAACTGTCTGGGTTCTCATAGTTTTGCAATTAGTTTGTGATACACTGGTGATTCTACTTTATAACAGTCCCCAAGCAATCCTGCTCTATATATTTCCTGTCGCTCTGCCCTGTGATTCATTCAAGCTACAGTGCCTGGGTACCGCTTTTCAGATTTTCTATTGCTTGATGCCCATTGAAGTACTATTTAGTAGATGTGAAATCGTGCCTGAAAGATGAATTGCTGAGGAGAAAGACTATGTGCCAGTAGACTTTCTCAAAAATCATTGTTGTGAAACATGAATTCTTAATTACTGCTTTCTGGAAGCCAAATACTGTTTCTTACCTGCTTATGAATACTGTGAAAATGCCTGCCAGTTGTGAAAATGCAAAGATTGTTTTATGCAGACTCTAAAACTGTTCAAAACTGCATTTTCTGTGTAGTGTGAAGCATTATAGCTTGTTGAAAACCATGTTTCTAGTACCTTTATTCTGATCTCTGGATCAGCCTATTGAGTGTGTGTGGGGGAAGTGCCAGTGAGGCTGAGCAGCTCTTGCTCTGTAGACTTCAGAACTGCTTCACATAACTCCTGCTGTGAGAGAGCTCTGGATTGTGGTTTAATAGAACTAGAGAAAATGAGCAAAGGCAAATGTACATTCCATTCTGATGTAAGCAAACAAATGTGTAAGCTCTAGGCTTCCCAAATAAGCTTGGTCTTTACTTAGATGGTGAAATGTGAGAGTGCAAATCATTTAGAAAAAACTTTTTTCAATGTGATCTGTGAGAGCTGGGAAGAAGAGAGAAAATAGATCTTTGTGTTCAGGAAAGCAGTTTCTTCTTACACTGGGCTCTTTAGCAGCTCTCCTCACACTGGCTTTATGAAAAATGCATCCCTGTGTGCTTGTATGTAGGGAAAGCATAGGTTAATCAGGAGATAAAAGGAAAATGAGGAATTTAATGCTATGTACTGATTTCTGAAGAACTTTGAAGCACTGCACTCCATACTCTTGTGTAGGGATGAAAAGGCTACTTTATATATATGGTGTTCAGTTGATCCTTGCACTGAATTTGGCCAGAATTCAAAGTTTCCTCTTGCCCTGGAAACACAGTGAAATATTTAAAACTTGTGCTTTTAGGGTGGCAGTTATATGTTACTCTTGACAAGGGCAAGCTCTCTTAAGTGTGCGTTAAATTATGCTGAGCTGGTGATCATCAGATGGCAGTTTAGTTATGGAAAATTAAGATAATTCTGCATGAGTCTCTTCAGTCTGTCTAATCTACTTCAAATTGTTCTTGGCATTCCTGATGCCAGAAAAGAAGGTCTGAAAATAGAGGAGCTTAAGCTTTCAGCATTCGTGGGATAGGGGAATGCACACTGTACAAGTCTCTGTGTGTTGTTTGCAGTCTTGGCTTGTAGTTCTAAGGGAAATGCTGTGGTTTTTCTGTATGAACTGTTCTCAGTAGTGCCGCCGTTTCTTGCAACATTTTAGACCTTCCCAAATCTCAGTTAAGTTTAAACCTGCAGCCACTGCTGACAGCTGACCCTTTTGCTTTCACAGATGTTTTGGCTGTTTGAAGACTAGTGAGAAGTCATTTTGAAGGAGAAACTCTGCTGAAAGGAATCATATTGAGCTTCAGTCTCAAAATCATTACCAGCTTGCAGTCTGAACTTCTGCTTTTTCTTAAGCATTGCAAGCACTCGAAGTCCACTTCTGACCAAGTAAATCTCTGTTAAAGGTATCAAAAGTTTCACAGCTCTGTCTGGAAGAGTGAATGTTCCCAGTGTGATTAGAGTCAAAACTGTCAAAGGCTGATTGTTGAATATGGTCTTCCATGTCTAGCAGGAAGGAGGTTTGAAGAAGTCATAGTTTTCTTTTCAAGAAAAATTTGACATGTTGCTTTCCTGCTGTAGTGAAAGGGTTTCTAATCTACTTGTCATTGTATGGCTCATTCAGAGGACTCAGATGTTCTTGAATATGAAGCTTTATTCCAGATGTTGGCCTTGGTAAGGAATCTCCCTTGTTATAGTCCTCTGATTTGCAGACATCCACAAGAGCATTTGGGGGAAAAAAAAACAACCAACCAACCAAAACCAACCAACCCCAAACCAGCAAACCTCAACCAAAGCAAAACCAAAAAAATCTCGTCTCAAAACCTGAACAAAGAAACTGGATGCTTTTGTTGCATCCTGTGGGTTGCACAGTGCTGGAATACCCCTGCAGATTTCAGCTGAATTGCTGTCAGGCAAAGACTTCTGGTAAATTAACCAGTTAGGTGAGATACAAGGGATCATCAAAGTGGTCATGCAGTCTGAATGGATGATCTGGTAGGGAGCCTCATGCTCAGAACAGTATTCAAAACTGGTGTCAGAGTTGTCTTGTGGAAAAGTCGGTATGTTTCATAAGAAAGGAAGAGCTGTCATCATTTCCCATGCAGTATAGGTACAGACGTTGCACTGACTTTGTATTCTGTCTTAACAACAGCCTCTGTAACCTTCTTTGGTCATGTCAGGTGTTTTTTTTTGGTTTATCTAACCTGGGCTGTAGTGTGTTCATTATGTCTGGTCAGGGACTTGTGTGTTCTGAATTTTTGATTATCAGTGAAGCTTTCATTCTAATGCTTGAACTTGCCCAGCCTTTTTCTGTGAATGGGTCCAATAGCTGTAAGCCTTGCTTGGTGTTCTTGTAGTTAAACAAATACTGAGAATAGAGGTAATTTTCACTCAGCGATCCAGTTAAAATCTATGGGAGTAGAGTTAATTTACTGAGAAAGTTGCATCATTGATTTGGTCAAGCTTAACTTCAAATTAAAGAGTCATTAAACTTGAGAAAGTCAGTGTTTTGTTTTCATTCACGTCATGGTTGTGCACTAAGTAGTTTTGCAGGTGTCTGGTTTATCAGAGTATCCCCGACACCACTTTTGAGATACCTGTGGATAAAAACAGTGTTTGTGGTTCCCTTTTCACTGTAACATCAGGGAAGTACACTATGAAGAGGCTGCAGGCACTTTGTATTTATGCTGGGCACATCATATTCCTTTTCTGCTGTGTGGCATGTTAATTTATTGGAACAGTTCCATTGACTTCTCATTTAGATACAGTATATTTGGTCTCCAGATGTTGTTGGCATCTGGTTTCTTGTTTGCATTGGCAAATACCTTGTAGCAAGTGTTACATTCGGAATGCTTATAATATAGGTAGTCATTTTGTAAGGAAGCCCCTCTCCAAGTATTTGTGGGTACGTTTTATGGCAGTCCTTATTTTCTTCCTTTTTTTTTCTTCTCTTCCTTTTTAGCTTTTAGCCATCACCCTCTGTTCACCCTGCTGCTGGATTGCAGCTCATCTTTTCGTGTTAGTCGTCAGGCGCATGCTGCCATGTTCGGTTGATGGCTAATGAGAATCCCTGCAAGACTGCAAATGAACAGACAGAAAATAAATGGAAATTATAGCTGCTTTTTCTTCTCTCTGTCTTGTGAGCTCAGCGCTTCTCAGTTGAGGAAGGGTCAGCAGCTCCCATATGCTGCCTCTAATGCCTTTGGATTTTTATTTGTATTTTTAAGCAGTCTA